TAAAAATGGAAGCTACAATTACTTGTATAGGAAGAGAAACTTCCAGTACAAGTCTGCACACTGATTTATCAACAAAAGCCATATAAAAATTGATAGGAGGCATATTCAGGCTAGAGAAAAGGTGCAGACGTTTAGCAGTAAGTAGAATTACCTATTGGAACAGTTGCCTCTGGACAGGATAGACTCTTGATAATTTGAAGTATTTAAGTCAAGTCTGGATGCTTCTCATAAAGGCCTTCCCATCTCTCAAACAGAGGTGACAGACTTGGTGCTCAATTCTTTGAGTAAAGATGTTTGACAGCTCCCTGCCTCAGCTCAGGCACTTTCTGGAGAGGTATCTGGATTCCTTTCCTTCTTTTATGGTCCCAACAAAGAGAAGGCTGCAAAAAACCCCTCAGAGATAAAAAGCCTATTGTGAGGGAACAGAAGTTGCAGGCTGATGTGAAGAGACATGCTGCAGATATATTGGGGGTCCCAGGGGATTTTGGCTAAGGGTTCATTTAATGGATGCCCAACCATGTTGTCACACAGCTTCCACACAGCAGAGCCTTGATAGGGTTCAGAAGTGCACGACTTGCCTGCCTGCTATAGTTTAGTCTTTTTGAGATGTCATTTTGAAGTGTGGTGGAAAACTGAAAGACAGGAGCCAGGCTGCCTGGCACAGACATAGAATCACAGAATGCTTTGGGTTGGAAGAGACCTTTCAAGGTCATCTAGTTCAACCTCCCTGCAGTGAACAGGGACACCTTCAACTCAATCAGGTTCCTCAGAGCCCCATCCATCCTGACCTTGAATGTTTCCAGGGATGGGGCTTCTACTACCTCTCTAGGCAACCTGTTCCAGGCTTTCACCAGTTCTGATTGAGTAGGATGGCCTCCATGAGGGGTTTAGTCTTTCCCGTGGATGGACTCCTACAAATTTTTCGGTAGAGCTGCTGACCTCTTCTAGCAGATGCTAGCCTACAAAGAGATGATCATGCTCTTCTGGGTCAAGGATCCCACAGGAATGGTCTCTGGACCCTGAAAAGTGTGCTCTGCACAGGTGGAAAAGCAACACTGCATAGAGGGGACTGTGTAGTGGCTCAAACATTAACCTTATGTTTGGAAGATTCATGTTAAGGATCTGAGATGTAAAACTAGCTGAACCTATTCTTACAGGATCCTCAGATCTCTGCCCTTCTGATAAAAGCCCTTTATGACTCTGGCCTCTATGCAAGTAATTACTTTCTACGAAAGAAGGTGCTTAGTGCTCTAAGTGACATTGGTGTACAGGTGCAATGGTTGTGTAAGGAATGAAAAAAATATTGCTAGAAGACAAGAATTCCAGTCCATACAGAAGCGATATTTCCTACCAATTTTGTACCTGAATCCATCTGATCAATTTTTCTGTTATGTTTGTGTGTTTTCTTTGTAAAGAGGAAGTGTGAGAGAAAGCAGGAAGGCTCTCATAGGCTAATTATGGAAGAACAAGTCATTTCCCATAGTGTATCATTGTCAGCTTCTCTGTCCTTATTTCATGTCCAGTTCTCAGTGATCCAGCTGTTGAACTGAGACTCAGACTTTGACATCTGCCATGAACTTGAAATTATTTGGGTTAGGACTCACCCAACTTTCCTGTTAAGACAATATTTCACTGAAAAATTATTATGAATGTCAGCCATCTGTGTCCTGAGTAAGTAACTGTCAACCAGCTGAGAAGTAACAAATATTCACACAAATCCTTAAGAGCTATCATCATCTTTATTTGAGCTCCATTGATTTCCCTGGAGTTACCAAAAAGATAAATCTGACTCCAAAGCATTGTTGATGAGTGGGTAGGTTGATGATTGGGGTGGCTTTGCAAAGTTTTCCAGATTTCTGCAGGCCTTTATGCAAGAGGAAAATATTATCTCTGTGGCCTTGACTGCATTTGCATTTACACTGGTATGATTTGAGAGGAGTGCCACTGAGTCAGGTTTATACTCGAGTTACATGGGCGCAAGCAAGAGAAGGATTGGGCAAACTGTGCCTAAAGCCTCAGTGGATTTGAGAGCCTTCTCCAGCAGCTTAGGTAGCTTTTCTTTCTATCCTTAGCAACACAGTCCTGATTAACTCTCCAAGCTGTGGTCAGTCATTTTGAGGACAGTTTGATTGACAGTATGTAACCTGCTAACGCTTTTCCCTGCGTTTTCCAGTGCATTAGATGCTGGAGGTAGTTGGTTGTTTGGTTGTGTTGGGGTTTTTAAAAATTATTTTGTTGATTTATTTTCAATCTCTTGGATATTCTATAAGAAAAAGTCATCTTGAGCAAGAGGCATGAAGTATTTCAATGTAAGTACAAAAATATGCATTGAGACTCCTCTCTTATATATCTAGAAAAAGATGTATTTGGGCAAGATGACCATTTTTGTTGCCTTGCCAGATATACAGTAGAATCCCCTTCCCATTCTGAAACTTCAAATGGACAATACAGAACTTCTCTCTGTGAGAACCTTTTGTATTTCATACAAGGTTTTTGTGGAAGGTTCTTTATTCACCTTATATACTGCTTCATAAGAGTAGATCTGACAGACCATCTAAGCTTGGACGGGTAACAAACTTGATCATTCAAAACTTAAGGGACAACATTCCTTTATATTGGTGATCCCTTAATGGTCTTGTGAAATTATTCCCAAAGAAAATTAGCATTCAGAAAGTATATTGTGATTTGTCCCATATTTTATTTTTTTTTATACTTCTTTCAATAAGATTTAACAACTTAAAAAAAAAAAGAAGAATAAATCCTGGGGAAGCAGTTAGATTTCTGGGAGTGCAGCCAGCATATTGTGGATGACCATTGGTCCAGGGACTACAATTTGGATAATGGGTTTGTTTGGAAATTATGCTGCTTATGTCTGCTCCAGTGTGGGACTTAGAGAAAAAGTCAGAGCCACCTTTCTGAAAGCTGTTGAAAAATAGAGAAATTAGATATTTTTTTCCCTGAAAGATGGAGTGATGGATTGACCTTTAACTGGGAACTGAATAAGTGAATAATTGCTTGGTGAAATATGTACATGAAAAGAATAAATCATACTGAAATCTTTGTCAGTGTGCAAGGATATAAAAAAGCAGAGATTTGTCAAAATAATAATCTTTCAAATGGTGCTTAATGTCTTTTCTCACCTATCTAAGGTTAAACTTCCATTTATTGCAGGAGTGAATTTGCTGCAGTACAAAGTGCACAAATATTTCACTTCAGAAATAATGGTTTTGTTCTAAAATGTGGAGAAAATTATCATTTACAGCTTTTTGAATGCTGCACTTCTGCAATCAATGACGAAATTCCCATTAATTACAGTGGTCACCAGACTGGTTCTCCAAAGAATAATTTGTGAGTAGCTTGAGTGTTTTCTTGAAATTAGAACTTTGTTCAGCTGCTGCAAGAAGTGTTACCAGGAGCAAACTGAAGGAAACATGTAATTGCAACTACATTTATTGTTTTTTAACTAATTCGTGAACACTAAAAAAATTTCTTGTGAAAGATTTTTTTGAAGTTGCCATAGAAAACTGCTATAAACTAAGAACATAATTTGGAAAGTAAATTGTATGTAGGTGCTTGTAGCCAGAAGCACCTTCTACAAGCTCCAGGACAAGATACTGTATTCCTTACTAGCAATTCAAATGGTTTGCTACCTCTATGTGAAAAGTAACTTCTGATCAGAATATGACATCTCTAAATGCTATTTTGAGAGTCTCCATTTAAGTCTGAGTAATTAACTCAAAGTGAACTGTGGAATCACTGTTTATATTCATTAAATAGTCATTTGTCATACTCGTTACAGCCAATATTTTAACAGCTGCAAATAGTATTTTGTTTTGGTTTGTTTTTTCCATGTCAAAATTAGAGCATCTTCTGTTTTGGCATAGTAATTTCGTTCCATGTGGAGTCTGAATTTTTTAGTGATTAACTTCCAAGACAATGCATTTGATAAGGGCGAGCAAGAAAGAGTAGAGTCCAGTCTCTTTTCCACTTACCTCCACCATGGCAAAGACATTAAAAACAGCTGGGTTCCAAAAGGTGGGGTTCAACGTTAGAGTCAGCTTAGCTTTAAAAGTGAAGGATACTAGTCACTCTGGTCCAAATTGGGGAGATTGTTCTCCTCATATCTGTGCTTACCAGGTTGAATTCACATTTTCCCACCGTTTAGCAGAACCAACTTTTGTAGTTCTGTCTGAGGTCTTTGCAATATTTCTTACCATTTTTTGTTTGTAAAACTGCCATGAGTTTTCATCCAGATCTTGCCTTAGCACACTATGGCATGGCCACATGCAAACTGTTCTGAAACCAGGATACTCTTGCCCCTCAGTACACAGAATCACAGAATGTTGGGGATTGGAAGGGACCTCGAAAGATCATCCAGTCCAATCCCCTTGCCAGAGCAGGAACACCTAAATGAGATCACATAAGAAGGTGTCCATGCTCAGGAGTAGTTGTGTGTTACAATATGCAATCACTGCATGAACAAATTCAGTTCTTATTTTGGTTTTTGTTATGTGCCAGTTTACAGGGTTAAAGGGTTACATGAGAATCTCAGCTTTTTGCTTGTAAAAATAAAAACAAAGTAATCACTGGCTCTGATAGTCTCAGAGAAAACCTCAAAAATATAAGCAAGGAAGACACAAAACTCAAAATGACACAAATATAAGTTTTTGTGGGTTCTGCTTGGGGTCTGACTCATGTTTTTCTGTCTCAGGGGTGACTAACACTGACTAAATTCTCATTGGCATCTGCAGGACAAGGATGGTTTAACTGTGAGGAGAATCTTTATGACTACTCTTCCTGCTGTATTTCCTTGTATCTACCTGAGCCAGTGAATTCATAACTCCATGTTGGTACAATCTGCTCTTGATCTAGCCTAGATAGTAAAACTGTTGTGAGGAAAACAAATTTTGCCACCATGCTAGTCAGGAATTGATTCTGCATGACTCAGACAAACCCTACTCTATTTTTTCTTCTCTTGTAGTTACCTTTAAACAAGAGGGATGACTCAGGTGCCTGCTGACTACCTGTCAACCACCAGTTCCTACAACTATGAGCAGCCCCTTCCCTCCGTGGCTCGGACAAGCACTGTCACCAAGGTACTCCCAGCCAAAAAAATAACCTTCTTCAAGAGTGGTGATCCTCAGTTTGCGGGAGTCAAGATGGCCATCAACCAGCGAAGCTTCAAGAGCTTCAATGCACTCATGGATGACCTCTCTCATAGGGTCCCACTGCCATTTGGGGTACGGACCATCACCACCCCACGGGGAATACATTGCATCAGTGAGCTGGACCAGCTGGAGGATGGAGGATGCTACCTTTGCTCTGATAAGAGATATGTCAAGCCTATTGGCATCACTTCTGGGCGACACAGGCCAGCTCCCCCAAGAAGTGGTCGTCCCTCCAGTACTGTGAGAAGAGTAGTTCAGGAAGGCAAGCTTGAAGATTCTTCCACACCTTTCACTCAGCATGGCCCCAGATTACCCAAGAAAATCACTCTAGTTAAGAATGGAGAAAGTGGTTTTCGGCGCTCAATTATCTTGAACCGCAGAAACGCAAGGAGTTTCAAAACGCTCCTGGATGAGATTTCAGAGATCTTGCAGTTTCCAGTGAAGAAGCTCTACACTGTTGATGGGAATAAGGCAAGTATCTCTAATACCTGGTGCTGGTCAGTTATTCTAACAGGTGTTATCACGTCAGCATTTGCATTCCCTGTAATGCAAATCCTTGAGCTCACGGGGCCAGTAGTTTACCCACATTACCTTAATCCTTAGGCTTGTGTAGTTAGTGTCATGGTAGTTACTTCACCATTAATTACATGAAGGGGTGATCTAGAAGTATCTTGTTCAGCCATTCAAGAACTTCATTCATCAGATATTTTTCTGGGTCAATGGGAGGCAACTTCTGATAGAAGTCCAGAAGCTCAATGTTTTGCAGCTGGGTATAAAACCCTAAATAAACTTCCAGTAATGGGGTTTCTCACCCTCTCCTGGGAGACACATCCCAACAGATGCTTAACTTTTCTATACCTAACAACCAGAAATTAAACAGAACAAGACAACATTTAGGTAGCACCTTGCATAGTTCCTAACAGAACAGGGTCCAGCTCATGATGTGGGATCCTCAGAATTATGGTAATATAACTTATAAATGCTAGGGTATAAGTAATTAGGGTATAAATGGGATTAGGAGATGCATTTATACTGATGATTTGTCAAATTGGTGTGAACTCCTACAACAAATTTGGGGCATGACAACTCCTTTATTCTTCTGTTCCCAAAGGAATTTCTTGACAAACCTGAGATTCTCCTGATTTCTTCTCCATTTCCTTGTAACGTAGACTAACCTGTAAATACATTTCTTCTGAAGTGGTCTTGTGTGTTAGCCTGACTAGCCTGGCAATGCAGCCAAGTGGAGCACTCACCCTGCTCCCTGCCACATTTACCACCTTCATAGCGCTGTGTGTCAGCTTTTCAGTGGTAATGTTACAACCATTTGTGGTGTCACTTTCTGAACCAGATGACTGAAATGACTTGGGTTCAAATGACCCACTATGCAGGAGGGGGTGAAAAAAAAGCAGAGGAATATTTTTAACCCAGATCATTTAGACCTGGCACAGGAACAGGAGTGTGCAGCCATAAAAGAGAGAGGGAGGGGATAATGGTCCCTTAAGCCAAATTTTCTGGTGGAAGCAACACATTGTATAAGAGTTCCATTCTGGAAAAAGCTTCCTGTTCTCAGCTGGAGGATCCAAAGAAAATGTCCTTCCCAAATGTCCTACTGCTACAGCTTGCCCAACCCTACTAATCTAGAGGCTAAAAGAGTGGCAGCCTGATTGCACTCAGAGATGAGATTAAATTCCAGGGAAAGGATGGTGTCACTCCACACAAGTGAAACTGTAATCTAACTGAAAAACTCAGAGTCTTGCAGAAACTGAGGATTTATTAAAAGGGACTGAGAAGTAACAGAAGGAACTTGGTTGTGGACAACCTGAGCATGGCCTAAGATGAGCAAAATAATTCACCTCTTCAAACTTTGCAGTCTAAGAGTCAGTTGTCTAAATCCGAGATGAACAAGCTGGCCACGCTACTGTGGAATTCATCTTTTCTAAGTGTGTCTAGAGTCTGTGTTTCTTCTAATGGGAGAGTAGAAAAAAAAAAAAAAAAAAGACTTGCTTGTAGGGAACTGCATGGTAGGCAAGATGAATCTCATGCCCTAGGGTGTTTCAGCAGTCAATGGAAAGAAATGGACACTTTAGGCAGCTGTTTTCCAGTGTTTAAATGACTGCGTATACCAGGAGCTGGATTAATTTCAGGTTCAGCTGCCTGAATCATAGAATAGTTTGAGTTGGAAGGGATTTTTAAAGGTCATCTAGTCCAACCCCCCTGCAGTGAGCAGGGACATCTTCAACTAGATCAGGTTCTAAATGTTGCTATAAGCGAGGTAAGCAGCTAAGCTCCCATATAGCTGTTGAAACTAAGCTAATAGTCCATTGAACATAGGCTAGCCAAAGATAGGTGTCTAGAGGCCGTCAGAATCAGGTTATTTTTTTCTAACTTCCATCAATTTATTTGCAAGGTGAAGTTTGCTGTGTACCACAGCTACAACTATACTACTACATTAAAAAGTGTTAGAGTCGGATCTTAGAATTATAGAATTGTTTGGGTTGGAAGGGACCTTAAAGATCATCCAGTTCCAACCCCCCTGCCAGCAGCAGGGACACCTTCCACTAGACCAGGTTGCTCAAAGCCTCATCCAACCTGGCCTTCAACACTTCCAGGGAGGAGCAGCCACAACCCCTCTGGGCAACCCGGGCCAGTGTCTCACCACCCTCACAGTGAAGAACTTCTTCCTAATATCTAATCTAAACCTCTCCTCTTTCAGCTTAAACCCATTTCCCCTTGTTTTGTCATTAACTGCCCTTATGAAAAGTCCTTCCCCAGCTTTCTTGTAGGCCCCCTTCAGGTACTCTCTTCTCTCTTCCCTCTCTTCTCCTTTCTGTTAAGTTCTTAACATCTTCCCTGTTTTGGTCTTGACCCAGATTAACAGTCTTCCAACAGTTTAGACTTAGGGCCTGGGACCATTCGCTGTAGGTGGTTTGGTTGCGGCTAGCTTGCATTTGAGCAGCTAGGCTGCTTCAATTGACCTCCATTCTGAAGAACTGTGTCTGGCACTGCTTGCTTTACTATTACAAATGTAGCCAACTCTAATTAGGTGGGAAAAAAACCCCAAACAACCCAAAACCAACCCTGCTGCCAAGATGTGCTATAATCTATGGATAAGTATTTTATTTTGTCACTGATTTAGCCAGTTTTCAAGAATTGGACTCCTGTTCAGTCCACATGGAGATAATAATCTTGTGTAGTGGTAGTAACTGATTTTTCACCTATTTCTCTAAAGACAAGATTTACCTTCTATTTTTTAGTGCAGTCTTAATGTTCTCCTTGTGATTTTTAAATGAATTAAATTTTCCTTACAGTCATTATAAAGACTTTTCTTCCTAGTCGTTTTATATGCTGATATTTTAGCTGGGATATACAATAAATACATGTTCAGTAAACACAATATCTTCACTATTGTTCAACCTTCATCTTCTTTCCATCTAAAGACATGCAGCTATCTTTTACATTTTCAGCTCTGCAGTGGTGATCATCTTGCCTAAAGGTCTCTAATCTTCTAGAGCTGGGTCTCATCCCACCATGCCAAGACATGGCAAGACATGGGTACTAACCAACCACAGAAGCGGTCACTGTGGAGTATTTGAAGCTGATGGCATCTACTGTTTTACATGCTAACATCTTTGCTGGCAGTTTGAGTGACAAGCTATGTAGGTCTCTTCAGCAAAGTGTCAGTAGCTTTGTCGCTTGTTTTGCATCCCCATTCTCAATTCAGCCCTTGTTTCTGGAAGTGGTTCAGGCCAAGCTGCACATGAACAACACTTCAAAAGATATTGATGCTCTTTGCTGCAGATAGATTATCTTCTCTGCTATGCCATAGAGTTTAAGATTATCCTCTGTGTAGTGATAAAGATATTTTCCACAGTAAATCCCAGGGGTCCCATAGAGAGCTTTTCTCTCTTTCTTTTTTCCCTCCATGTTTTACATCTGCAGAAATGTGGGTGTGGATCTAACGCCATCCCATAATCTCTCCATGGTCCCTTGGGGTACTTTTTTTGGATATGAAAATTTAAATTACCATCTTGCCAATAGGCAGTTCATCTACTGTAACTTATTAATTTAATTTGCACTCCTATTCTTGTGTAGAATATGGTAGTGATAGATGAATATGGGTCCAACCTGATCAACGTTATCAGCTTACACATAGCTAGGAAATATGTGATTATTAATATTATCTCCGGGGAATAGTTTAAAGGTTTTTTTTCTGGCCATTCTTAATTTCAGTCATTTACCTCTTGCTTTTTAAGTCTTTGTTATTGTTCATTCATTGGTCTCTTCTGTTAGGACTTCCTGGAGCTGTTACTTTAGTCTTGGGTGCAAAGCATTTAAACCACAGGAAAAGTCACTCTGTCTTGGATTTTCCAATCTTTTCCTTTCATAAGGATTCTCTAAACCATTTCTGCTCTTCTGTCTAGGTCTTCTTGTCATAACACATCTTCAAGATCTCTGTTCCCTATACATAATTGGATAAGTCCCAGGGTTTTCATCAGATGCTAATAGTTTCTTTGAGGAGTGAAAATGGTAAATTTGTTGCTCAATTTGGGGGTTTTCCTGAAATAACCTGTTTCAGCTGGTGCTGAAGATTAATTTTGACTGTACATCTCACCTTTAGTCTTACATTTGCATTTTCTGTTAGGGACAACGAAAACAAGCCACTATTCTTCTGTGACTATTCAAAGGTGTCTGGACACTTCATATTTCTTGCCTATTTCCTTGTTTCTCAGATTATTCTCTTTGAATAATAATTCGAATTGTCTCTTAATAATTTTGCTAACTTCTTTTATCACATGTCTAGCCTTAATACAGAGGCCACTATTTCTTGTAAAGGAGGCTGGGAATGGGAGGAACAATAACTTTTGACATTTGTTGCCAAGATTTGACATTTTAGCTGAATAACAGTAAGATCAATTCCTAAGCAATGTATCTGGACTCCTGCTTGATTGACTTTGTATTTTTCTGATTTAGAATAACATAATTCACAACATTTAAAAGAAAGTTTACAATGTCTCTTTTCCTGACAGTTTTTCTTTGATCTTTTGAAAACTGAACACAAAAAAGGAAAAACCGTTTCTCCTACAGGTGACTCGATCTCTTCCCTCAATGAAAGTGTTATTCACTATTTATACAGCTGAGACCATTACCCCTTCCATCTGCTTTTGTTTTCATCTACTACTATAACTCTAGATCTAAACTCAAACCTTAATTTAAATCACCTCTGCAACAAAATGTATGCTTGACATGTATTGTCCTAGTGGCTCTGTTTTAATTTCTTTACCATTTTGTTGAGTAAATCTGGAACACTTCAATATGACAAGTCTTTCGTTTCCTATTACGCCTGTATGTGGGTATAAACTTCAACACCCATGGAACAGGCTTATTATTTTGTGTTTCTTTCATGTAGTATTGATTTGAAAAAAGCAGAGAAAAGTGTTTTCTGCCTTTTGTAGTCCATCTAGTCCACCAAA